AGAGAAAGACCTCCAGGAGATGCTGCATAGGACGTGATCTTTAGGTTTTCAGGTCCTCAAACAGATGTAAACATGTTTGTAAGTGCAGAGCGGATCTTCAAAGACACGGCAAAGTGACTTTGGTTTAGAGCTCAGCCGAGCAAAATGTGCATGTCTCTTACTTGTAGCAGTTTAATAAAACACAACATAACCAGTTATGTTTAAATTATGTTCTATTGGATGAATAAACAAAGACAACTTTCTCATTTTTACCATTTTTATTTTTTACTACTGTTCCTGGAGATATGCTACCTTTTTAAACTTCTACAAATATTTGCGACAAGAATGATTATTTTTTTTTAGATAACTTGTATCATAATTAACTCCAGCTTTATGCCAAAAAAGGTTAAAAACAAACCACTGAAAGTTGTTTTCCAAGTTTGAAGACGTTTCGCTTCCCATCCAGGAAGCTTTTTTTTTAAATTCCAAATGTCTGGATTAGCGTTGAGTTCCAAGTTTATATAGTGGACCAACAAAGCCTTGTTTTGGCTTTGAAATCATTCAAATTGGCACGAAAGAACAGGTCCATCTTAGTAATGGTTTAGGTCATTGTTGGCCTGCAATACCCAGTACTGGCCTATGCCTCTGAAAAGGGAGTCCTTAGGGTCATTTCTGAGGCTTAGGCCAGTGTTGCAGCACACAATCTGCTAATTTTAACGGGCGGAACCAAAACGGTTTGCCAGTCTTATCGTTTTTGCAGCCATCTTTGTAGATCACCTGCAACAAATCTACTTATTGCACCTTAAGTTATTTGAAGTAGTTAAAGGATTAGTCTGCGATTTTCTGTTGTGCATTCTGACTCTACTTTGCTCAATTCACCAGCAGATGTCACTACTTGTGCTTCTCAGGAACCTTTTATCATTTTCTGTTTATTGGAGACTTTTTTTGTAATTCTGCTTCAAATGAAATTATAGCTTAACATTCTTGGTTTAGGAGAACTTAGTTATATCTAAATCCTGACTTTGGATCAATGTAAGATTACTTAACCAGTGCACATGTTAACGTTCCTACATATGCAGCCTGGGCAGAACAATAACCCTTTAAAGATGGGTTAACAGTTGATTTTCAGTGATCTTTTTGATCGTCAAGTTGTTTTAGTTTTTTAAATAATTTCTTCTGTAACGTTTAGCTGAACGCTCTGCTGACCTGTGGTGCTTTCATTCCCAGTGGAAGGCCACGATTCCAGTGAGGATGCGTCCGCCTGCATGGAGCTGATGATCTGGAAGATTAGAGAGGATGCCAAGGTCAAGAGATGACCCCTGACCCTCCCACTCTGCCTTTATCAGTGTGACCTCTGGCCTTAGTGTCGCTCACAGACAGACTTCTGGAGGTGGACTTGGAGAGTTTCTGGGGCCATCGATTTAGCACAGCAAGTCGTTGGATCGGTGATTTACTCTGAAACTCATTAAACCATTAAAGCAAAAGGAATCTGTTAGAAAACATTTTTTTTCTGTTGTTGCCACTTTAGAGTTAAATTATTCTTGCATCAAAGTATTTTCTGTTTTTTGGGCAGTGTTTCTTTAAGGCCTAAAACCTGATGAATATGAACGATATGAAAGAACTTGAAAAGCAGGGGCATTTTCAGAACTGTACTGATTAACATATATATATATATATATATATATATATATATATATAT